CCGGTCCGGTGGCTGAAGCACGACTGTGTGCAGGCCTGGCTTGGGGGCCCGATGCGTGGGAACGAAGTGGGGTTTAGCTGCAGCATCCCTGTCTCCGTGGTCAGCGGGACGAGCTTTGTCAGTACGGCAGCTCCAGGTGAACAGGGTCCAGCCTCTTTTCCCCCACCCGTCCTTTGCCGCTTCGTTCATTTTATTTACTAAAGGCAAATTAAAAGTATTACTTAGCCCCTGAGGTGAGGGAAAGCTCGGTTCCCGACTGCTATGGTGCCTTGGCAGGAAGGCTGATCTGGAAGAAAGCCTTCTGCTGTTTACAAGGTTATTGAGTTCAAACGGCTCCATGCTGTGGTGAGGCTGGACTGGGCTAGGTGTTGCATGGCTTGTGATGTGCAACTAGCCACCTTTTCCTTCCAGAGAGTTTGTAAAAGTTTGTTGTATATTAAGAATGTGTGCGTTTCCAACTGAACCTTGGACTGAGGATGCGAAGGAAACTTAGGTTTTTCTTGAAGTTTTGGAAGTGTGAATTAGGAACGCAATGAGAGAGTAGTTTATATCTGTTATGTGTAGACTCTGGCCCGTGTCGGATCAGCAGTCTGTGTGAGATGAGACTTCTCAACAGGCTCAGTGTCCAAACAGATGGCTCCGTGTAATCTTGTTTTACAGTTTGTTGGCATTCACTTCGCTCATCTGTCCTATGAGGAGATTCTGTGCTTTCCTGCAAGCTTAAAATGAAAGTCCAAATAATTCTTAGCATGAGGTTTCATACACATCAACGATAGGCTTGTAAAGTTGAGAAGAAAATATTATAGCGATCGTATGTGATATGCTCTGTTAGCCAGACAGCAACAACAACTTTGGAAGATGTGTGTTTCCCGCACTGGATAATCTCAAAACTTTTTGTGTGATCAGAGTCGCTTCTGTTGTAGCCCTCAGGGAAGTAACTTTTCACCTGTTAGTTCATAATAGCCATGTTTTATCTTGTGCTAAGAGTTATAAATCTTAAGATACAGATTACATGTGTGCATGATTTACCCGTGGTTGAGGTGAGCAGATTTTAACCAATCTTATTTCAAAGTGTTGGTCCAAGCAAAGACTTGTACAGAAATAGGTTGTCACTGTATGTATCTCCATGCTAGTCTTCATATAGATCAAGCGAAGGCTTTTTAGCTGTCTTACCCACAGAGTCAATCCTGGAATCTTGTAGCTTTCTTAATTTCCACATAAAAACACTTAGTGCATGACTTCATTTTTGGTGTTTTTTATGCTATCCAAACAACAACTTAAAAACTTTGTGCTTGCGATACAGTTTGGTGCTAAATTTCTAGGAGTCTGAGTAATGAAAAGGAAAACTTAAAAATCCGAACACATCTCTTGGTAGCGTGGGAAGTGTTGCTCACTAGTACTGCCTGGTAACTAGCTGAGTTCAGATGTGTTTGTGGAACAAGGCCAACTAGGCCTGCGTGGTCACAGTGACAACGCAGACTGCAGAATATTTGGGATTATGTGGATCCAGCGACTGGATTGTCCATAAAACAAATCATTGTTTGTTCCTTTTTTCCTTCAAGTTAAGTATCTTCTGTGCATTTACATTCAGCTCTGTCATACCTCCAGATTATTAGAAACCTCCCCAAGAGCAAAGTGATGGAGAGAATACTCCTCTTGCCTCATGTACACACCTTTTTTTTTTCCCTTGAAGAACAACAAAAACTGTTGCTACTTCTCTGTACATCGACTTTCAGATGGTCAATAGCTATTTTTCCTTTTTTTTTGTTAGTGATGTTCATAAACTGTACATCGTCAGGGAAAGTCATAGAAATTGGAGAGGAAAGGATTTCTTAGATGATTAGCGCTAAACATTTGTCATCTCTATTTATGGTATTCTTTCCATAGATGCCATCATCCATTGACTGAAACAATGCTTTTGCTTTGAGTGATAATTCTGTAACATCACCTATGTTGAAATACGTGTGTGTTAGAGAGAAGAAACAAATACGATCAGTGATTGTACTAAAATCAATTCCTAGCATGCTCGAAAACAGAAGCTCAGATCCCCCTGCCAGAAGGGGATGAATCCCTTCTTGTGGGGCTGACCACTGCGAGAGCATCACCACATGGTGTCTTCAGTTGTGCTAATGGGATCCACAGGTATTATGGATTATGTCAGTACAGTATTCAAGGATCAGCTCTCACTACTAAACGTTATCCTAACTTCTTCAGTATCAGTTCTCTCCACTGTCATTGAATGATGAACCTGGAAGGCAGAGCTATACAGCACTGTTCATAGCAGGCTTTAGAGTGACTTAGTTGTGCCCCTTGGGCACGTCTTCACTTTTCTTGGCAAGTTTACTCTTTTTCTACCCAGACTACTTTTGTTCTTCTTACTTTTCTGTGAGTTTCCTGTAATTTTTCGGTGAATATTTCTATTCTAAAGTATACATGACCAAATATTGTAGTTCAATTGCCTTTGATATCAGAAGCGGAGCGTTTAATTTTTGTGTGCCATTGCTCTACATGCATCTTCTCTACAGGTACTGTTCCCCCACTCTCCCCCATTCTCAGTCTGTGAGACTACATTTGTCTGTCCAGCTACATTATCTAACAATAATAAATGTTAATCTGAATGCAATGAGATTTCTGTTTTCAAGACAGAAAATATAATCCACCCAATTCTGTGGAGGGTAGAGAGGAAAACAGAATAGTTCAGCTTGCAGTGCTGATTTTGAAGTAGATGTCCAAAGGCAGAGAAATCTTTAAGGAAGATTAAAATCCTGTTGCATCATGGGCTTAAGGAAAAAATGTCTTGCAGCTCTCAAAGTTCTCCTGTCCTGTAACTGAGGTTATTGCTCATGTGACAGAGTGGGCAGGAGCTTAGTTTACCACAGCAGCTTTGGCTCAGTGTAGTATAAATTAACGGGGAGTTGACTGGGAGTATGTATTGGTTGAAATTTAAGTGGTGCATTCAGCTGTAGGGACTTAACAGCCCAGAAGGAATTGGAGCAAAAGGTAACTGCTAAAAGGAGGTACCTTCTGCTTTGTTCCTCTCTTCCAGACCCAGCACGTTAGTCTGCCTCTCCTCTACCTGTTCTGAAGAGTTTTGAATTGGTCCAGTGTGAGATTCCATAATCTTTGCTCCAGAGCATTTGCTAGGGATTTCATGAAAATCAAGTGCATTACCCTCCCCCAATCTAGCCTACTTCTTGGTCTCTCTAGGCACCTCAAGAAGAAGGGAACTGAAGCAGGCTCCTCCCTCTCTGTTAGGTTTTTTTGCTTCAGTTGAGCACCCTGGGTAGCACATAGGAGAAAGTGCTTGACTAATTAGAATAATTTTCAATTCAAAAAGGGCAGGAATCTTAATGGATTGGCCTAAGGAAGCTGCAACAATATGCAAAGCAGTGCACTGCTAGAAATACCCACACTGGTTGACCAAATGATATTGCTTCCAGTTCCACAGAAGACCAGTTCACTACTTTTTTGGGGTCTTTTAGGGTTTTCTGGGGCTTGCATATCCATTGCAGAGCATAGATATGTTGTTAAAAATACTAAGCTTCCTATTATTTCTTTACTTTACAGCTCAGGAACAGGTGATGTTCTTGCACTGAGGGATGGATGGCCTAAGCTCTGAATGGGGTAAACTGAGTGCCCATCTCCTTATATAATTCCTTCATGTCTCAGAACTCTTCTGCCCTTCAGTCTAATAATTTGGATTAATATACAAATGCCACTTTGATGTGATATTTAAAATGTACAGGAATAAACTACATTGCGTGGCCCTTGAGATTAACAAATTAACTGTGCCAGTAAAATAGATTGGTGAGCATCTAATCTCCCTTCTGCTTGGGTTTCCAGATAAATCCAAGCATGGAAGTAATCCCATTTGATTGTATTCTAAAATTATACGGGCTTGCTATTTCTTTCAAAATACCCTCATATCCTAACAATAACAGTCTCCCGAATCAGTTGTACAACAAACAAATCTAACTACTTCATTCTCCACGTTCCTGTGACTAAGCTGAGGGTCCTGGAATTGTTTAATGCATTTGAATGTTTTATTTTTCTCATAGGTTTCTGGCTCATGTAAGCACCATGAAAGTATTTGAGCTATGATTGTTATAAAGAAAAATAACAACAAATAAAAAAAACTTGTTTACTTGCCAGATGATACTTTGCCTCATTCAAACAATTTGAATCTTTGAGATGCTTAAGCACACAGATTTATGCCGAATTGGCATCCCCTCCTGAGTTCTAGTGAGTATTTTCAGGAAAGATCCATATAAGCACCTCGGCAAGTAACAAAAAAACCCAGCCCAGACTTAAAGATCAGGTATGTGATCACGTTTCCAAAGACTGACAAGCTATCACCTTAAACTCTTGCAGATACAACACAGTAACTTTCATGTCCATGTTCATGGTCTGTGACAAACACAAGGTAGCTTGACTTGCATTAGCTTGTAATGGAAGCAGATCAAATTAAGCTGAATTGCTTCACATTTACTTCAGGTGGAGCTTGCACACAGGCAATTACTGTGGGACAGCTGATACCTGGTAACTTGACCATGTGTACTAATTGTTGTATGATTAAGTATGTACATCTAAATTTGCAACACCCTTTCCTGCTCAACAGCCCTCTGTCCCTTGATATTTAAACTCTTCAGGCATCTTGCTGTTTCTCTGTTTTACCTGGATGAACATAGATGCCCAAAAGAGTATCATTCCATCAGGACAGTCCTGTTCTGCATTATATGTGTGTGCGTTATTTGGATTAGCTTTGCTGTAGGTATTGAGTGAAGGGTAATGCCTGCAATTTAAAGGCTTTTGCAGCTCAAATGGAAATTACTGGGGAATCAGACTTTTCTATATAGTTATAGACCAGCTCAAATGGAAATTACTGGGGAATCAGTAATAAGCCTCAGCTTATGAGTAAATGTGTTGGTTTTGGTGGCAGTACCAGCATATAGTTCTGCCCACATTGCGGCGTGCCACGGGAGTTTGGAGTGTTGTGGCAAGGAGTGGAAGAGCATGAAACGCGATGATGTCTGCCAGTATCCCAGATGGTATTTGCAATCCCTTCTTCTAGACCACTCAATTGACTATGAGATGTAAGCTCTATTGCACTGTAGGATTATTTGGGGAGGCTCCCTGGCAAGCTTGACCTTCTGTTTTTTTAAGCTGGACAGGGCTGCCAGAAGCAGCTTTATTGGAAGGTGTCACTGCAAGGCCTGGATACAACTTGTGCCTTAGCACTGCTACAGCAATACTGTATTCATGCTCTCACTTAGGCAGCTGGCTGTGGAAACAGAGCTGTGCCGATCATTGCTTGGGGCTGGTGTGTGTATCAAGCCTTCAGAGGCTGTGAGCAATGTATTTTGTATATAGTGGACAATGTCCAGCAGAAGGTAAGACATAACTCCTTAGTGCAGGCTGCCCTGATTGCTTTATGTGAGCTTGTCAGGAGTGGCAGTGGTTGTGAGCTGTCACCTGTTCTGTGCAATGTCTGAGTTTGAGAGAAGGGCAAGAAGAGTCATATAGGAGGATCACCAACAGAGGCAAAACTTCAGGAGGAATATGATGGCGGCCATGAAGGTCTGTACAGAACCTCTTACAGACAAACAACATTGAGATTCTTGCTGAGCAGCAGGAAAGGGAGCTGCCCAAGTTCCTCAGAAGCTGGTGGCCATTGACTTATTCCCCTATCAGTCAGTTTGGAGTTGAGATGACAACAGCCAGCTGTGGAGCATAAGAAACTGCAGCAGCATACCAAAAGTTCTTAATCTTGGATGTCTCTGGGTGATGCATATGTGGCCAATAATGGCAGGTTTCTTAGGCATAGGATTCCCCAACGGTGGTGTCATTGGAGAGACTTGCACTGCCTCCGACCAAGCACAGTTCACCAGTGGCAGAAAGGGATTTTATTTTGTCTGCAGCAGGCTGGAGAGCTACCATGGATGCCTTAGTCATCAGTGCTGCAGATCTGGCATGTGTTTTCCACAATGCCAGCCTGGTTAATGTCTTACAGGAGCCAAGCGAAAATAGCAGGTCAGCAGCTCCATTAAGATCATCAAACCAGTGCTTGGCACAAACTGACCTAGCTGAGCAGCCTCAGACAGACCTGCCTTGTGAAGATAGGCAGCTTCACTTGCCAAGAGCTGTTCTGTTATTGCCCTGGCAGTTGCTGCCTGTTGTTGGCTACGGATTTTGTGAAGAGTCCCCCCAGGGGACTGCAGTCTAATGCGAAGTCCCTTTCCTGAATTCTGTTTGGGTTTTGTTCATACAATCAGAGAATTGCACTGGTGGAAAGGGACCTCTGGAGGTCCTGCTCAAGGTAGATCCGGCAAGAGCAGATTCTTCAGGGCCCTGGGCAGCTGAGTTCTGAGTATCTCCAAGGGTGGAAATCCCACATGCTTTCTGGACTCCTGCCCCAGTGTTTGACCACCTTCATGGTAATTTTTTTTTTCTCCTCTTACTGAGTTGGGAATTTCCCATTTTCTGACTAGCACCTGTTGCCTTTCACTGTGCACCTCTGAGTAGAACAAGGCTCCCTTTCCTCCACACCCATTAGGTAGTTGTAGACAGCAATAAGGACTCTCGGCCTTCTCTTCTTGAGGCTGAACAGACCAGTTCTCTCAGCCGCTCTTCAATACAGCAAGTGCTCCAGCCCAGTATGTTCAGCGTCCTTTGTACTGGGGGGATCCAAAAGTGGACACAGCACTCCAGATGTGGTCTCACAAGTGTCAAATAGGGGGAAAGGGTCACCTCCCTTGAGCTGCTGGCTGCAGTCTTGCTAGAGCAGCCCAATGTGTGGTAGCCTTTGCTGCAATGATCTTTTCAAGTAGGTGTTGTAATTGCATGAGCAGGTTCCTGGCAGCACCTGTGACATTGTCAGCATCTGCTATAACTCTTTCATCTGCACACAGAATATAGGTGCAAAGTGGCAACTTTGTGGAAAGCCTTTCATTGTTGTTTGCTGGCAATGTGTGTGAAAGTAAATACTAAGATGTTCTTTTTCCATTTAGCATGCAAAAGGGCAGATACAATTCTAGTATGTGCTGCCTTTGAAACGGTTTGTTTCTCTGCCCTGAAGGATAAAGTTCAAGTTTCTAGTGCAAAACAGTGATTTATTGTGAACAAATGTGTAATAATTTATTACAGATATGCAGAACACTAACTATGCAAAGCCAAGCGGTAGAGCCTATCGCAGGCCAGCTGCTAAAGTTAGGGCAGTGCACTATGCCCTACCTCACATGTTGCTGATGAGCCTGCAGTGTCACTGGTTTCTGGCAGCTCTAGAGTGCAAGGCGAAAGCTCTGATGGGGAAGGTGTGGAACAGGGGCTAGAGGATCAAGGAGCACGACAGCATGAGACACGCTAAAGGGGCAGCAAATGCTCCTGAGATGTTGCAACACACTGCTCTGCTTCTCGCATCATTGCTACTATCTTTTGGCCTTCATCCTACTCCATGCCTACGTTTCTGTGCAATGGGTTGACAGTGAATATGCTTGCTGCCTGGCTGTGATCCATGGTAGTGACAGATCAGTCCACCTACTTCAAAACTGTGTGTGCTTGCTTTGACTGATGTCTCTATTGTCACAACAGCCTTTTTCCCTGCCTCCACTCTTATACGACCCTCATCTGAAGCAGGTATCTATCTCTGTGCCTATTTTGCTTCAGACTTGAGAGGAAAAAATATGGTAGTGATTGTTTATTCCTTACTTGGACACATAAACATCCTTTTCTCAGAACTCTTGAAGGATTATCCTCCTCAGTTTTGTTCCTCTGTTTTACCCAGTCCTGATGATGACAGAAAGTTGGTTTTGCCCAAGAGAAAGAACTCAAACTACTGCTGCTTTCAAGTAGCATATTCACTCCTGGTACTCACAGACCAAAGCAGCCCTGACAGAGGAGTAGGAGGGGATAAATACCCCAAGACCCTCTGCCTATAGAAAGGGAAAGGTAATGCCTCTGCCTCCCTGTAGGCCATTGATGCCGTGGCACTGATCTAAGTAAGGATAATCGGAGAATGTCTTTCCACAGGACAAGTGGAACTGGGACAGTGTACCCCATCACTGCTACCGCACCGGGTATCTTAGAAGAAGCTAGACACCAACAGAAGAAGAGTGACCCCTAAAGTTTCAGCAGAGAAGCCAGCATCCTGGAGGCTGAGGGATGAAATATTGCTCTGTCAAACTACCATTTAGCTTTAGGCCCCTGATACACTAACTGGGGCCCAGTGTGTAACATTCTGCCTCCTCTTTGGGAATCGTGGGGGAAGAGCAGGGGAATGCAATTGAGCCAAGCTTCATTTTTACCAAACTTTCTTTTTTTTGAGTGGAATAATTTATTGTTATTCTGAGCATCTGATTCCAGCCTTTGAAGAGCAGTCACAGTGCACTTTCAGCATCATAAGCTGTGGGAATACAAGCAGGGTGGCTGGTGGAATAGTTGCTATGGAGAGGCAAGGCTGACAGCGTGATGAGGGATGCAGCCAAATCCTGAGTTAAGGTCAGTTAAGGCAGTGGCCCTCAAGATAGCTAAGAAAAGTCTGAATGTCACAAGCATTTGAATAAAACATTTAAAAAAAGACCACAGCTCTGAGGCAACATTTAAAGGAGGAGGATAATATCTAGACATAATGGCCCAGAATTCAGGAAGCAAGAAGGTCTGTGGCTAGCTTTGGGAGGCCTGAGGCTTGTGTGATGCAAACAGATGGTGTCCAAACCAGAGCAAAGCCTGCTGGCCAAAAGTTAACCCATCAGTGCTTTCTGAATAAATTCTCACTAGAACAGTGCTTCTCATGTTCAGGTGGCTTTTTTTTTTTATGTATACAGTGTTTGTTATCTAGCTCTGGAAAACCTGCAGATTACTTTAGCAGATCATCACATCACATTCTGGTATCTAAAAGCTGAACAGTAACAACAAAACATCTTGGAAGAGGTGCTGCTTGGATATAAAGGATAGTGGTGTGGGAAGTGGTCTGCTAGAGGAGAGCGCTTATACATGGGGGCTGACTAAAAGGATTGGGAGCCTGCTGCAAGCAAGCAGAAGCTATGACAGAGGAGCACTCAGTCTACTGTTTGGGTTCAGGAGAATACCAAATGTTGGTATGCATACAGTTTTTCTGTTCTAAATCCACTTTTCTGGGTGTTGTGCACCCTGTTTGGCAAAATAAAGTTACAGTGCATCTGTCATAGCATGCTGTTGCTGGCTGCAAGTTTACAAAGGGTACGATACCAGGGACCAAGCCTTTAGGTTATGGTAGATAAAATAATTGAGCCTAGAGCAGTAACAGCTGGTGACCCTTTGAAGAGAGGTTTGATCCCAAGATGAACACAGAGAGGTTTAGGTTTCCCACTTCTAGGGAACTGGAAAAGCATTTCAGACGGGACTTTTTCTCTAAGACACAACGATATTACCAGTTTAGTGGTGCCTGAAGCCAGTATTTGCTGCTGTGTTCTACAAAACACACAAGTTTATAACTTGTATAAATTTCAACCCTGCACTTTTCCCCCTTGCCCCAACTCCCACTTAAACTGTTAATTTTTAAGGACGGAGAGGGAGGGAAAGGAGGAAACCATGGAATAGATCATCGAGACTATCACCACAGATCTTATGTTCCAAGTCAGAGCTCTCATCAGTTACTGAAAAAGAAAACTGAATACTGTGCTGGCTAACTGCCTGCAATTATGAAATCAGTGTAAAATTCAACTCTTCTGGTCCTGACTGAAGACTCTAATTTTAGGAAAAGGCTTCTTTTCTTGGTCTGTAGACAAAAGCCCAAGGAAGGTAAGCACTGGCAGGATAGGATGGCATTGCCACCTCTGCATGCAGGAGGAAAAAAGTACAGCAGTAGTGTGGACTGAGTAGTTCATTTGAAAGAAGGGCATTCTGTTTCTTTAGAAGCAACTCTGGGATGAAATCCTTGGTATTACTGTCATGGTGAAATAATAAGCACGGTTCCTAAGTGATTGAGAGAAAGTAGGCTGAAATCTGGAAAATATGTTGCTAATAACTCTTCTTTTCTCTGCATACAGGGAAACAGCTGGATGGCATCTGGTAAGTGACTAGATTTAAATTGCATAATGTGTCTTAAACACTGTGTGGTGTAGGAAGTATTTTCAATATGAGATTATATATGCTTCAGATCTTAAGAACATTTTGGTGCTGAAGAGAGACCAAGGCACTTTTTGTTCCTGAATACAGATTGACAGTAAGATGATGTACAGTCAGGTGCTGGTTAAACTTCTCCATTCAAAGCTCAGTGGACCCCATGAAAAAAGTGTTGGTAGTAGTTGTTGCATTTTAGTGCACTTGTACGCTTTTTCAAGGGTAGGATGTTGTCCTTGTCCCAAGCACTTTGTCTTATGATTGCAGGCATGGTTAAACATGAGAGTAAGAGAGTAGGTGGGAAGAAGGTATTACAGAATCAGGCCTTCTGGCACATAAGAGCGGTGGCTACATTCAGTTACAAAACACCCCAATTTGCTATAATTCATATCAAGAGTTTTTAAAAAAAAGGCAAAAAAACTCCAAACCCTTGTCCATCCATTTTCTTCTCTATTGATCCATCTCCAGTGACTGCCTGACCTTCTTCTCAGTCAGTGCCTATCAGACATGCACTTCTGTCAATGTGGTAGCAGGGCTAGCTCTGTCTCTATATCTGTGACTTCACCCTCAACCCTTTAGCTGAAAAAGGCTGCTGGAGATCTCATGCTGGTGTGGAAGTCCCTCTCTTCCTATGTTCCTTCATGCTTGGGCACCTAGCTAAGCCTGTTCTTTCCCAGCTGCTTACAGACTTACAGTAGGCTTGATAATCATTGCTTCTATATCCATTCATGTCCCAGCAGATCCTGTTTCTAAATTCTTTCAGTTACTCACTTCGTGATGTCCTTGAGCATATAAATTTACCGGTGATTTATGTGCTAGGTTAAATATTTCCTTTTTTACCTGTTTTTTGTTCTCTGTGGCAGGCACACCTCCATAATAGTCCATAAGGATGAGTTCTTCTATGGCAGTGGAGGAATATCCAGCTGTGCACCTGTAAGTTAAACTTATTTTTCTGATAAGATGATTTTGTGATAGGGTTACCTGATCAGAATTCCTTGTGTCACTGTCTTTTAGAAAAGCAGCAAGAGGCTTCTGAATTCAGCCAGATGTGGCTGCTTGCCATGGTTGCCCAGGGCATCTGAGGAAAAGGGAGCATGGGCAGTGGGTTTAAGCCCAACTAAATACAGGTTGGGGGTTGCTTCTGCTGGTAGAGTCTGTCTATCCAAGACACCTTCTGCAGCTGCATTGCCAGAGTGACAACTTGTCTAATTCTGTATCGATAAGTTTTACATACAGACTTGGCAACTCAAGGCATACTTTTTAAGATTTAAAAAAAAAAAAAATAAAAAATATGTTTTGTCAGACCTTTCTGTTCTTGGAAAGGCAAAACTGATGGGCCATTCTTCTAAAGCAGAATTTTGCCATAGCTTAGAGCTTTCAGCACAAAGACCCAAGTATGCAAGCTGAAATGTAAGTTGCATGTTATTTCTCATTCTCTGAGTGCAGAACAGGGGAGGCCAGTAGGGCTTTTTGCTTGACAAACATACTAAAAGTTCCTCCTTTTGTGCCTAGACAAGCCACGATAGCTCTATTCAGTAGAGTCCTCCAAAAGAATTCAGTCTGTCCATTTAACACTGTCTTCTGGCTGTTAATTTTTACAGGGAGGGACACTTCTTGGCCCCCCTGACTCAGTTGTTGACCTGGGGAACACTGAAGTCACAGAAGAAATTTTTCTGGAATATCTTTCCTCTTTGGGGGAATCTATGTTCCGGTAAGTAGCAGCTTGTACGATAAAATCTGTATAACAAAAAAAGCCTTTAGGGGAAGGGGTGCAGAATGGAGGAAGGTATTATGAAACCAATCCTGCTCACAAAGCTTTGTCTGCTTAGTGTATTATTTGGTACTCTCCAAATATGAGACGGGAACTGATGCACCAATACACAAGGAGCTACCAGCTAGGCAACCCTCTGGTGTGCCAGTTGAGCTAGTCTGGGAAAGCATTCTGCCAGGAAGTCTTTCACACTGTTTTTCGTAAAATGGAGTAATGCCTGAAATGCCTTTGAGAGAATCACCAGGGAAAATGAAGGTGCTATATGAAGTATTTCAGTAAATAGTGCTTTGCCCCATGAGTCATAGGTGAAGTGTTGTAGTAAAACTGCCAACTTTCAGAGGAGTAAAAGCAAGGTCTTGACTGTTAAAGAGTCTAGTCTACTTCTCACAAGAATAGGAAACTAGCATTTAGTGTTCTGGCTATATTTCAATGTCAATAATTCCTGTGATTTCTTGTTATTCCTTCTGTGTTTTTAATTGAAGAAACCTGACTTCGCTTATCCTCCAAAAAAACATTGTATAAAGTCAGTGATGCAGAGAGATGTCATTTTTCCACCCTGATTCAATTGAATTTGAAGGTGAATTGATGTCTGTATGTTACCTATTTGCCTTAGAATTCTTTGTGGGGGAAAAAAATGCTAACGTTAGGAGATGTTCCTCATTAGGGGTCTAAGTTTTTCTGCTTGTTAGATTTATTGTTGAGTCTGTCTTTTTGTGTTTCAATTCCTTTCCTGTGGCACAGAGGAGAGTCTTATAACCTCTTTGAACATAACTGCAACACCTTCAGTAATGAAGTGGCACAGTTCCTGACAGGAAGAAAAATCCCTTCCTACATCACTGACCTTCCAGCTGAAGTTCTTGCCACGTGAGTATGCATGCCGCTCCTCTCTGTAATGTATTGCTCCATGCTAATGCTTAAACATTTGACAGAGTCAGCAGTACCAGTTTCTGCTGGCTTTCTCTGAGAACCAGCATAAGATTAAGGAGAGGATGCTATTTGCTTTACTTCAACATTTACAACACTGTATGACAAGTGCTGACTGGCACTGGCATTACTAAGAAGATAGGGGAAGGTTGTTCTGCCTTTGACTTAAACTAGTTATTTTGTGATGGTCTCTTATATGTGACCAGACAAGCATAGAAAGTTTCAGAAAATGGTGCAAGTTTTTTTTGTCTTAGGAAACCAGTATCTGTTAAAGGTCACTTCTCTTACTCTAAGCGCCATAATTGCAGTGGAAGTGTCAGCTTTGCTTGTGAAGAGGCAGGGGAGATGTAATTTTAAAATTAACGCTGCAGCTTTAAAGCTAGGACTAGATGGAAAAAGAGGATATGAAAAAGAGGAGATGAAGAATTCCTGCCTGGTAGTTCAGCTCAACCTCCCCTCC